AAATGCAGGTAGAAAAAAGTAAGGGAAAGGTTCCCCTTGCACATATGTGCTAGTTGTTCCAGACTCTAGGGGACAGTGCTCATCTCCGTTTCAAAGCCAAAGAGCTAGCGCTGTCCGAAGACGTCTTCGTGGTCATGTGGCCGGTATGACTAAACATCAAAGGCTCACGGAACGCTGTTACCTTCCCACCAAAGGTGGTTCCTATTTTTCTACCTGCATTTTTTAACATGCTTTTGAACTGCTAGGTTGGCAGAAGCTGGGACAAGTAATGGGAGCTCACCCTGTTACATGGTGCTAGGGATTCAAACCACTGAACTGCTGATCTTTCTGATCAACAAGCTCAGTGTCTTGACGACTGAGCCACCATGTCCCCAAATTAGTATAATAACCCCCAAAATGCCCTTTGAGATCTTGAGAGGTGTGCTTAGAGGGAGCATCAGTGAGCAGAGTAAGACCATTTTCTCCACCTGTATCTTCCAGACACAGGGACTTCCGACTTCCAAAAGGCCTTGCTACTGGCCACCACTATTTCCTGCAACTCTGAATTTCGCAGCGGACCACTCTGCACGACGAAAAATTTATGTTTTTGGGTTCTAGTATCCGCTCTCAGGATAGCTTCTTTTTCTTTCTTAGATTTCTTCATTTCTCATTCCCCTTCTCCACCCCCACTACTTTTCTATTTACTTTGTATTTTATAACTCAGTAAAAATGTTAATGGGAGTTCCATATTTGCTTTTCAAGACCTACCTTCCATAAGCAAAGCGCCTGTCTTTGTGATGGTCCCCGAAGGTATCCCAAAGCCTTAAGGAAACGCTAACATCGTCTACAACATCTCGGGAACGTTCCAGTACCTGGGAGAAATTTTTTAAAGAGGTTATCTTCAGACCAAAGGGACGATGAGAGAGCCAGTGTAGTGCAGAGCTGAAGCAGAGGTGGGATTCAGACAGTTATTTATTTTCCAAAAATCTGCACATCGCTCTTTTATTGTTTTACACACACAGAGATGAAATATAGTGCCTCCATTTTGAACTATGCCATCTACATTCCAAACCGAGCTTAGTGCACAAAATAATCTGCCATAACGTCCTACCTGTTAATGACTACTTTTACTTCAACTGCAATAACACGAGGGCTATCAATAGATACAAACTTAATGCAATCCGTTCGAATCTTGATTGCAGGAAAAACAATTTCAGCCAGAGTAGTAAATGTGTGGAACACCCTACCCGACCCTGTTGTTAGTTCCTCTAAACCTCCCCCCACCCCAATACCTTTACCTTCAGCTGTCCTCCGTGGACCTTACGTATTTCTTAAGAGGTCCCTAAGGGGGCGTGCATAAGTGCACCAGCGTGCCTACCGTCCCTGTCCTACTGTCCCGATTTATATGTAC